CCCGGGATCGGGACACCATTTTTTTCTGTGGGAGTGGGACAGGACAGGAGTGAAAATCCACTCCCGTGTCAGTCTCTAGATATGACTCACCCTGAGTGTTTGCAGGCAGGTCAACACATGCACCACCAGCCTGTCAGAAGACAGAGAAACACCTTGGATGGCAGAGGTAGAGTATCCAAGTTTAGAAGGATTCCCAAACGGCTGGCCTGTCAAGCTAAACAGGCTGAACTTTTTTTTTTTCTTTCTAAAATCGAGCTTTCTAGGCACTACCGGTTTAAAAAAATTAGACCTATAAAAAAAAAAACAAAGCCACTTTCTCACCCCAGATTTTTCGTTGAAGTCCAACATACTCTTCAATATGAAACGTCTGATTTCCAGGTGATGACTTCTTTAAACCTTCACCAATTAGGTTTCGTAAAAGGGAGACACTTTTCCTGCTTAAAGCTTAATATTATGATATGGCTCCCTTTATATTCTGAGTTTGCTCCACCATTCGGAGCCGGTGGGTAGAACACATGGACGACATTACAATGGGTTTGATTTGAGGCAGAGAGGAAAACGCATGTATGATGGTGTCTGTGTAAATGATAGATCATTGGGTTTGGCTTACCTTCTGTCTGGGAGGAGGACGGTCAGAGTTCCTCATAGCTCCACTTCCCCTAAGAAGCTTTTACAGTAGGTGATTTGATAAGAGATATTTCTGAAATTTCAGTTTTGTAAATCTCACTATAAAAACTTGACTATCTCCAGCCTGGCTTGAGGTTGAGTTTCAAATCTGTGTTCAAGTCCAACTCTGGTACTTTTACACATTTTTCCGTTATTGTCTTTCTGTCGGAGGTGGGAAATGCGAGAGACTGGTCTTAAAATACAAAGGCTGTCTGTGTTTAGACCACAATGCTATCCAAATAAAGCACCAAACTGATCAGCATCCTATCGATGCTGTGACCCTGGGGTTTGTTTGTGTGTCTCAGTGTGTATCAGTCATGCCTGTCTTATTCCATGCAGGGGAAGATGCTTTGCTACGAGTATTTAGACAAGCCGCTTCCAACATTCTGTAATCACTACAGGACCTGTTGCACATCTTAGGGATTTAATCAGTTTATTTTCACTCATAATGTCTAATTTTTTTTTTCTCTTGGCATTTATAAACTTGCAAAAGTGGAAAAAAAAATAATTAAGATTTTGGTTTAAATAAAAATGATATCACTGCAATCACTGATTCATTGACTCTTCATAGTCTTATAGCAATGCATGCTTGTAAAGAATGTCGTCTTTATCTTGCCAGCACTACATTACGTCACCATGTCATGCGACATTAATGGGTTGCTTGAGCAACACTGCAGCAGCCAAATAACGTCAGACACCACAGTTACTCTTCTCTGGCTGCAATAGCTACGATTCATTTATGTGTTGAGGCAGCTTTAGTCTGATTGGCTGACCATTGCAGATCATGTTTTTTTTTTTTAAGTCAGTCACTGTTCAAATCTCTAATGAATATATTATTTTCACTAATGTATGTTATTCTGCCATCCTTTACCACTTCATTGCTGCTGGTTGCTATTTGTTGTTTGTCCTATTTTAACAAAAGGAAAACCTTATTATTTTATCTTAACATAAAATCATGCAAAAAAAATAAAAATGTCTCTTTATATTATTTAAAAAAACAGTATTGTTTATAATACTATTATATAAATACTTATTATGATAAATTATATGCCACTACAATGCTGCTTTTTAAAGAGATCCCAACAGTTATTTATGCTCTTTAAAATGAATCAGAGAAAGAGTTTTCTATTTGTATCCATGTGCTACTACCTTAGACAATACCTATTAATCCCTGTGTTTAAATTGCCCCCCCTTTAATTACCCCAATTTATCATCATTGTATCAGTGTGAACAGTGATGACTCTTCAGATTCATTCACACCAAACCTGAATTTCTTTATCCCTAGGTCAGAGGTCAGGGACTAGCAGACCGCGGTCCGGATATAGACCCACCTGCTGGCTAATCAAACCCAACCTGATTTAAAACCTTTATAAATTACCGCATGTTGTCCGACGGCCGTGTCTGATTTCACTTGCGCCGCTTCTCCAGTTTGTACGGTAAAGCCCTCCAGAGTTCCAGGCTACAAGTGATACAAATTAGCCAATGAGCTGTGTCGATCAGGGCTGCTGCTACTGCTGCTAGTTAACTTTAGACACATCAGGCAAACCTGTGGCAAGCCGGGTGATGGGAAACAAGGAGAAGACGATGAGGAAATGTGAAAGAAAGTGTGGACTACTCGAAGAACTGCGGTAAACTGGTGACAGAAAAGTGAAATGGCATGCTCAAACATGACCCTGCAGATTTTGAGTATGTTTGGGTCAACCTGCTGCTGTGAAGCACGATTCTCCACCATGAACAGAATAAAAAATAAATATGGATCCAGGCTCAAAATGAGCAACTTGATATGTGCTTTAGAATGGCTTTGTCACCAATCAAACGCAGGTTTAAAAGCATTGCGATGCAGCCTAAAGCCCACTTCATTCCTCATTTAGCCATAAAAAAGAAAGGAAAAACAGTAACAAACAGTCAGTTCAGGTGTAGACAGCTAGAGGTGGGGGAGACAGGGGACATGTCCCTTCCACTTTTTCAAAAGTCTGTTTTGGTTCCCTGCACTTTTTACTGTCCAAAAACAATTTTACGCTACAGTACACAGACAATCGTCGAGCACTAGGACCAAGAGGAAAACCACAGCTGAAGCTGAAGCCTGCCTCCCTGAATTTAGACCGCCCACAAGCTCCTGATTGGCCGTCCGTCCTTTCTTGTGTGATTGGCTGGTCACATAATTAGAACTTCAGGGTCGCAAGCCTTTATCTCTGCTTTCTAGTAGGTTTTGGATAGATTTTTGAGATGACTTAACTGGTCCAGGAGTTATGGTCTACTGGAAAAATGCAAAAGATGACAGATGGTGAGGGAGTCTGCTGCTGTAAGTTAAGCATTTTTTCTTCTCATTGGGTCACGTAATCCAGAAGGGTTGTAATATCAGGTTTATTAATTTACACCAATTTGAATTGGTCTCACGTGAGTCTGTGCTCGTATATATGTGTTTGGTTATTAGACTCGTCTGAAAAAAGAGAGACATAATAGACTTCTTTAAAAGTCAAAGTGTGAATTACATTGAAAGAACTGAAAATCTCCTAAAACACCTTCACTGGATCCATAAAGCAGCAGATCCACTTCAAGATCCTCCACCTCATTTTAAAACTTTAAATAACCTTGTCAATTATTTTGTTTTATTAAAAGTGCTGATAAGTCAAATGTATTATCGTTATATAATATATTATTCTTATATATTATTATATTATTAATATCATCAAAAAAGGAAAAAATACAATCTACAAATGGGATTTTTTTTTCTTTAACAAGTGGAGCAGTAGGGCTATTGCCATAGTGTTCCGCTTGTTTCATGCATATAAGTTGCTTATATTTATGCAGTGAGTTTTACAGCTTATATGGCCACTGCAATGTAAACAGATAAAAGAGGAAAACAGAAAAAAGGAGAAAACATGTAAGAAGGAGGAGATGGAAAGGAGATAATGAGAAAACATTTTTAGTCTGATTCATCACCTGCAACGAGATGTAAAAAGAACAGCACAACCAACCGACATGGAACGAGACATACGATAAAGAAACACCTTGAAACGATTGCTGAAGTAATATTATTTAATCTGACATCTACTCTGTGTTACCTGAAGATAAGAATATGGGTTTTCTGTATGGAAGTGAATCTCTGGGTACCTGGAACCAAGCACCTGTAGATGTTTGTGAGAGTGCACTTGTGCATGTACAGTACAGATTGGATTTTATATCTCCAAGCTCATAATAAATGTAAAACTATGTGTTTTTAAACACACACACACTTCTGAAATCAACATTTTGTTTCTTTGTATGGGATAGTAGCTGACAGCCCTGCTTTATAAATACAAACCTTATACGATTAGGCATATTTTTGGTTCTCTGATTTAGGATTTAATCTAAAGGTGTAAATGCGCCCTTGTCTATATATTATATTAGACTTGTTTTAATTTTGGAAGCAAAACCTGGAAATTAAAGATCTTCCGCCCCGATGGCTAAAAGTTATACAGTGTTGCTGTTATTAAGGCTGGTTATTTATTCATAAAAAAAAACAGCAGAGCAGCAGCGCATCAGTCTGATTATAAATAATAATACTGATATAAAAAATATTTTCTTCTGCCTTTGTTTAAATACAGGCTTTGAAGACCATTTTTAGGGGGTTTCTTGGCAAGCCTGTAGTGAGAAAGCATCTTGCAATCTTCCATGGCTCAGATTCATTGGTGACTCACCACCAAAACAAATCAGCCCAATTGGAGACGAGCTAGTGCTCACATTTCCATCACTCATCATGTTGCCATTTTGCCTCCTCTGATGTTCTTTTGGGAGTTTTATTGCCTCACTTACGTCTAAGTCTTCCTATCTTTAGGGATTGACATCCATTTTTTTTTTTTCATTCAGAACAATTTGTTCTCAGCACATCTTTATTTTCTATATACTAAGGCAGTTGTATAGTTTACCTGTTTTCAACATGGCTGAAATGGGGGCAAAATACCTTCAGAAGGGCTCATAACGGGTGATTTGAATGTATACCTTGGAGTTTTAATTTAAATCAGCTGACCTTTGAGCTGTGTTTACATTTTCCACCAGTAATCCGCATTGAGATGTTGGCACTAATCTCACTTCCAAATTGTCTTTCTTTCTTGGCTGATCCACTTCACCAAAGGTCATCACATCACCACTACAAATGTAGTGCAAATCCCAGATAAACAGGAAATAAATAATGAATTACGATAACCTGTTACCGGGGCTTGCCCGCTTGTCGTCACCACATTCGCTGGCCAATCCTCGTCTGAGGAGGCGTGGCCTGTGCCTGCTTGTGTGGCTGCTCCGGCAGGCTTGCGTATATTCTGAATGAAACAGAGGGAAGTATTTGCTTGCATGCTGCGTTCTGCTCCTCTCACTGCTCTGACTGGGCGAGTGGAAGGGAAAATCAGACTAGAAACTCAGCACTCTGTGCCACACTGGGAGTGCCTTTAGGAGAGTGAGACAGAGAGGGAGCGGGTTAGAGAGGTGGGGGTTGTTTGCAGGAAGAGGAGGTCAGTCAAGCAGTGGTTGCAAGGAAGAGGTAGAGAGCAGTTTTTAGCCCTCTTGAATATTTCATAAGGTAGATCCTCCAACATCAGGCTACCTGGATGGACTGAGAGAAAGAGTTTGTAATTGGGTCGGCATTTAGCTGGCATCAGGACCAGGGGGGAGATGGGAGAGCGGCGCAGTTGAGAAGAGGAATTTTTCTTGAGTGACCCTGCCGTGTAGCCTCAGATAAAGAAAAGATCTGCAGGAAGACACCGGGGATGAACCAAAACAAAAGGGAAAGACAGAGGGCTCAACTGCTGGCTGGCTAATCCTTAAACCTGTCAGAAACAGGGTAAGGAGGGAGGATCCCATCCCTGGGTGAAAGCCTGTGTGAATGACTGTCTGAGTACATAAAAACTTATCTGATGCTTCACAGAAACACAAGGAATCAAGTTCACATGAAAGGCAGATTGCTCAGAATCTGACAGGAATTACAGTCTGTCAAACGGGAGCCAACAGCATCCTGCAGGTATGTCGTCCAACGAGCTGAGCGTGGAGATGGACTCCTGCATACGGACGTTCAAGGAGCACATGCACCTGGAGCTGGAACCACCGAAGATGCCGGGTGTGGTGGGAGGCAAGAGGGGAGCGACGTCTCCCAAACTATCCCCGAGAAGCTCCCCACGGCTCTTCCGCAAGCTGATGGTGAATAAGAGCATCCGACAGAGGCGGCGCTTCACCGTGGCTCACACCTGGTAAGGCCTTTGGGTGGTCGGTGAAAAGAAATCTAAAATATTTACAGCTGTAGAAGGAACAGAAATGGTAAACACATGTTGATATATTGGGTAAAATTTAGAGAGATTTAGGAGAGAATTGCTGGGAAAATTATTAAGTAAGAGTCTCTAAAAAACAATAGAAGAAAATAAAATACTTATGATTCAGACAGGAACTGATTTAACAGTTGAAAAAGAAATTTTGTGGAATATATGTAAATAAAAGGAAAGGATATAATAATGAAGCTTAAAGTAAGGAAGGTTATAAAACATCTTGAGCTTGTATGTTGTCAGTTTATCTAATGCTGTGGTTTGTCAGTGAGTTAAGGGATTACATAATGCAATAAAAAATGACTTTCAGCAGAGGTTCCCTTTTCTACTCAGGCTTGTACTTTAATGCATTTCTGGATGAACTGATCAGTGCAGGTCTTGGAAGACTGCTGAGTTGCTCATTGATTGTTAGATGCATCACACAATACGGTGGTCTATTACGGTTTGCAATTAAATGAAGCCCAATCCCCAACCGCAGATATGTTGCAATGTCATTTGGATTTTCACTGATACTGATGCATTTTGGATATAGTATATTCAAAGATTGTTTGGTCCAATTGTTACCTTTAAAGTTACTGATAGGAAGGTTGTTAAAATGTGTAGTTTTAAAACAATAAAAAAGTCCACATACCACCATTTTGATGATGCCAATTAAGTAATTTTAGTGACAAGTGTTTTGCCATAGTAAAAGCACTGCCCCTACCCAAGAAAAAAAAAATACATTGAAATATTTACAATAATAATGAATGTGGACTAGCCTCGTGAGACCATCCTGATCTCGCGAGCTTTCAAGGTTTCACTCGC